TAACACCAACAAATATCTCCGAAGCTCAAATCTACCTATAATAATAAATCATTTGACAAATGGCGTAACTTTGTTACTTTGGAATAGTTCCTTTTTCTTTGATGAAAAAAAAGGAACTACTCCGGCACTACACCTGCAGAATATTTTTTAGCTAAATTTCCAAATCAATGACTTCCAGTTCAACAAATCTATCTCAGCTGACGTAGAAAATTCTCTAATTATAGGGTTTTCGAAATTGAAAGAAGTTGTGACTAACATTAATCTAAAAAAAGCACCTGGGCAACACCACATAAATGTGAGTGACAATTAAATGGGGAAAATGATTAAAAACTTGCCGAAGATGATATTTTTAACAGCATGGGACTACTGTGAAACATATAAGCTAATCATTTAATGATCTGCAAAAATATAATACATAAAAAAGTTCAATTCAGTTTTGAAGAAAATTATTACAGACATAAAATTGTGACTTTAAGACTAAAAGGGCAATTATGACTTGTTGGATATCAAACACCTCCTTAAGATTCTGTTAATGACTGAGGTAAGGTCAGTGATAGTGACCAGCATAGTACTGTTAACATGAATTGTAGTAGTCCACACTATACTTAAATCACTTTACCATTTTCACATAAATAATGCATACAATTGATTAAGGTGTCTTTATGAAATGGAAAATTGTTGCTAGAATATGGCTAAAAGCAATATATATCTCAGAATGTTGATACATATAGATAATAAAAGAAAATTATTTCAAGTTCCATTTATCTATTGTTTTTAACTATTCTAAAATATTTCTTTTACATAGTGAGCATCATTACTACATATTCTCTATGTATATAAATTTAAAAAATTATATTTAAAACAGCATTACATTCTTGTCTTGCATCTAATAATTAAATAACCATATGCCACCTACTTAAGAAACGCACAAATTCAGATGCTTGACTGCGAACCATTGAACGCTTGTCCATTCATTAAAAAATGCAAATTAATTGAAACTCTTGTGGACCAAGCGCCACTTTCAATTTCAATTCTAAAAAAAAATTAAAAAATAAACTAAAACTAAGACCGCTGTAAAACTCTTACAAGGAGATTTGAGAATATTTTATTAATAACCGAGTACAGAGTATATCTAGCCTTAGTTTTCTCTTTAAGAATTGAATATGAACTCTTCTTTAATCAAAACTTTCCAATTCAAAATAATTTTAAAATAAATATTCAGCTCTTAAGATCAGTCCACTCATTGGTGGAATTAAAATTGAATCGCCTAATTGATTGAGGAAATTGAAATCTTGATCAAATTTAAAACTATAAAAGCTGCACGCATCCTACAGATACTTCAGTTTATTTTTATTCGAATTGTGATTTAAATCGGTCTTGAAAACATTGAAGTCAGTGTGAAAGTTAAAAGTTAAAGTTAAAAAATATTTGACTAGGAATAAAAGATATAAATAAAAAATATATGTAATCGAAAAATATTGTGCTGAAAATAGTAAATCTTAATAAAAAATAAAATATATGTGTATTAAATACATAATAAGAGTAATAAAATATATATTTTGTATTATTATGTACTGAATATACGAATTATTATATATAATGTATATTATTATATATATGTATAATAATATATATTATATATAATACGAATTATTGTACTTTTCGGATAATATCATTTACATTAATCTTTTTTTTGTAAATATTCTTAAATCTTTTATTTAAAATATTTAGATATTTTTTAATAATTGTAAATTATTTTAAAAATATAGTTTACAACGCAAGTTCTTAAAGAATTACCTAGAGTTTGTAGTAAATGTAACTGTATCTGTATAAAGTGTATTTGTATAAAGTGAAATAGCATAAACTAATATAAAAAAGAAGACATTAATTAAGAATGAAAGATTATTGGGTGAAAAAGTGATTACCTAACCGGAAATTAAAGTGTGATTTGTATTCTAATATATATGAACTTAGTCTAGTGTTGGGAGTAATTTAGAACTTTTAGAAACCGACTGTTGTCTGATGAGTACCGAATACTTCCATTTTATAATTTTTGTTACAAATATAGAAATGTACTAAATATACTAAATACTTAAATAAAATTAACTTATAAACATGTAATTATTTTTTAGTGATTATAAAGAAAGAAAAAAAATAAAAAAAAATAAAGAGTAGTTGTAAAGAGTGTTGTGAAAAAATAATTTAATTAATTATAAAGTAATTAATTATAATTATAATAAAGTAATAAAAATAATAAAAATTATAAAATTAAGAAATCAAAAAAAATTAAACCAAATATTAATTTTAATATATATTTTTATTTATTTAATTAAACTAAATTAACAAATGTTCAAGAATTAATATATGAAATAATAAGCTGTTGGCCTGCAACCTTTTTCATATCAACTTAAATTTTAGTCATAACTGTTGCTTAGTATCCTTGCACAGAAGAAAAAGGAGAAAAAAAAATATTTATTAAAAACCATTAGCGAAAAAAATTTAATAAAGTATATATTCCAAAATATGACATTACGTTCAAATTTTTTATTTATTTTGAAAATAATGGAAACCTTAAGCATTATTAAAATACAGTTGATCCTAAAAAAACTCAAGATATTCCTACATTTTCAAATCTCGATTAATATTGATAAATTATATATTATAATTTATATATATTTAATTTATAATAATATTATAAATAATTATATTGATAATTATTTTTAATTTTATTTTATAAATATGTTTATATTTAATTCAACTGCACAATTTGATTAATAATTAATATATCTTTTATTATCAAATAATTTTTTAAATGCTCTTTCAATATTTTATTAGAAAAAAAATTAACTTATGAAAAAAAAATCTTTACTCTAAATTTTATTAAAAATTTTATATTAAATTTTATTATTATTAAATTTGAAATCAAGTATATACTAAAAATTAATTAAAAACCCATAATATTTTCTAAGTGTTACTTTTAGTGTTTTATTTTTGTACATCACTAGTTCGCTCAAGAAACACTAAATGTATATGAATTAATTATATTATTTTTAGAGGATCAACCTCAATTAAAAGATTCATAATACTTTATTTGTTAATCATTTTATTTTTTACAGATATGAAAAAATAATTCGTTCATCGCAACAAATTATACAGTTTTTTTTTTAAATTGTCTCTCTAAGTTGGAAAGAGTAAATTTGAAATTGATAACAAGTATTTTGTCATAGTTCTTTAAAAAGCTTCGTTTATTTTTTATCAACAAAAGTTGATGACCCCGACTATTTAAATAGCAATTTTAAAGTGCCCATACACTATTGAAACTGGTGAAAATGTACAGATTTTTTTAAAAAAAATTTTGAATGCAATAATCTAATCGCATTGACATCAAAATATTTTTGACCTATATTTTACAGAATTGGGCTAAAATTTTATGAGCAAATAAAGGTTTGAAAAAAAAGATTTTATAATACTATAGTAATATGTTCTATAATAGTTTTTTAATTATAGATAGTTAATAGCGCAATATGTATCTCGTTCTGTTTTCTAAGTTCACTTCATTGTCACCCACTATGGTAATTAAGATGCAGGACTCAGATAGATGCTTTGGTTATTATTTTATACCAACGAAATATTAAAATATTAAAGTCATATTAAAAATTATTAATTGTAATAAATATTAATATCTATGAATATAATAATATTATTAGAATATAGTGGTTATTATATTAAATATTATTAAAGTATTAATTTAGTTTCACTACTAAACTGAGTGTATTGGTATTTTATGAGACAATTTCACTTTCTGCAATACAGGATTTCTTCGAGGTTTTTGTCTCCGATTTTCCATTCGAAGCAACTCATTCATATATCTGAATGCATTTCTCTTCCAAAACTAAAACTTTATGTACTTTAAAGAATAAAAAAAATATTAGCAATAAAATGCATCTGTATATAATAACTTAGGTTGAGGCGAATCGTTAACCAAGCCTTCCATTATAAAATACCATGCGTTTCTTGTCACTCATTTTAAGTACATTGGATTGGATTATTTCGTCTCTAACAGCGCTCGTCAGTATTTCAGATATAGCTTAATAGTTAGTGAAATATGTCACATTGCTAAACAATCTGCAAATTTTCCTTTCTAGGATTAACTGCGCAAATATTATGTACAGGTCATCTTTAATCAGAATTTTTCCATAGCATTATTACTCCTCTGCACATTGAACACTCTATTTGGATTGTTTCGCTAGATGCTGCTCCTTTTCTTGCATAATTATGATATTTCCATTATCATTTCCTAGAGAGATTGTTCATAGGAATTTATTTTTAGAAAGTTTTCATCTCATATGATGATTATGCACAGGGAACAATAGGTGGAAAGTACTCATCTCTTACGGTGGTTGTTCATACCAAACTAATATGGAAAGTATTCAGGATATTTTCAAAACACTTTTCAGAATTTTTAAATATTATATGAGAAGAAATTACTTTCATCACAGTTTTGAAAAAAAGAGTAATTGTGCTTAGTATCTTAAGATATTTTATAATGGATAAGAATAGAATTCTGTTTTATTTGGTTATGTTATATATTTATATCCCTCTCTTTTCCCGCGTTAATGCAATTTATTCTATCCTACTTCCACACAGTTATAGGTGAGTAAAGATAAGTTGTGTACACTCCGAAGCCTTTATAGGTATTTATATAATATTTAATATAAAATATTTATACAATATTCCACAATGGTTATAACCATCTAATAGATATTATTATATATATAACAGTTTTCTACCACCATATTATATTATATCCATGGTGAATTTTGACCTCTAGTTTCTTTATAATTATTACTAACAGTATTGAAGTGGAATATTTATAATAATTTTTTAAATCATGACGATCTATAATTTAATAGTGATATTTTTTTAATTAAACTAAATTGATTATTATATTGATTTTTCAGATATTTGAGTAATTTCTTCTAAATGGCTTGGAGAGAACTCTTGATCAGTCAGTCAAAAAAGTGATCAATAAATATTTCAGTTAAAATAAAGAGATTAAAAACATTTTCCAAGATGGAAGTCAGACTTTGGAAACTTCTTGTATTTGTGATATGTATTTGTATTGTTCAAGAATGTATATTCGCTGAGCAGTTAACCTCAAAAAGAAGTAAAGTACCAACTAACAAGAAAGTAAGGAAATCAAGAAAACGCTTAAACGAACGACCGCAAGCGGAGGAAGCTAGACCACAAGCTGATATACCGGCGCTAGAGGAGTTTGAAACCTATGATTATGCAAATTACGATGAAGTAGATGAGGGTAAGAAGAGTAAATTTTTTTTTTCAATAATTAATTTTAATATCAACAACAATTCATATAAAAGAATTATATGATATTTTAAATGAGTAGTTTAAATACATATAAAATATATACTTTTTCAACTAACTTAACAAAAACTGTTTCAGATGCCGTTGCCATAGGAGAAGTAAATAAATTTGAGACTCATCAAGAGGGTACCTACTGACTGAATAAAGTAATTTATATAATAATATAATATAAATTTTTTTATTAGTGGCTGCATCAGCAACACCAAGATCACGTTCACCACAAAATTCGCCTGTTACTTTCTCCTGTAATTTCGAAGGTAATTGGTATCGGGAATATGAAGAGTTTACGAGTGAACAAAATGGCTGCACTAGTACTTGCACTTGCTTAAATGGCAAAGTAAACTGTAAAACTTCCAGTGATTGTATTACTTTAAACTCTGATGACAAGCAACCACTTAATGAACGTATAACTACGTTACGCACACCCACAATACAGCGCACAACTGCTACTCCTACAGTGTCATATAATGTTGGTACTGGTCCACGAGGTTTACCAGGTTATCCAGGCGCGCAGGGTCAATCAGGTGATGCTGGACTACCCGGCATACCCGGCAATCCTGGTGCACCTGGAAATCCAGGTCCACCCGGTCCGATACCTGATATGAGCTTTTATCATCAGCAATTAGCAGCAGAATATGCCAACACAGATAAAGGCCCTGGTGCACCGCCATTTGTTCCCGAACAATTACAATATGTTCAATCATCCGTTGGTCAAACTGGTCCACGTGGTCCACCTGGTAATGTGGGTCCTCCGGGGCCACAAGGTTTTCAAGGTGTACGTGGTGAAGCAGGTGAGCCAGGTCAGCAAGGTCCACCTGGGCTAATAGGACCACGAGGTATGCCTGGTACTCCTGGTAAAGATGGGTCACCAGGTGAAGATGGTGAGCCTGGAATTGCTGGTGCTGCTGGCATACCTGGACCAAGGGGCTTACCTGGCATGACAGGAGTTCCAGGATTAAAAGGACATCGTGGTTTGCCCGGATTAGATGGCGGAAAAGGAGAAAGTGGCGCACCTGGTGAGAAGGGAGCAACAGGCGGTGTGGGTCCAATCGGAGCACCTGGATCTATTGTAAGTTATTAAACTAAAACACTCTACATATGTGCTCATAAAACATTTTTTTAAAGGGACCTGCCGGTACGCGAGGTGAACGTGGTAGGGAAGGACCACCTGGCCCTCCCGGTGCTAGAGGCTTGGATGGAAATGCGGGAACACCTGGACAAACTGGTTCTGTTGGTAAGCCAGGCCCACCCGGCTTTCCTGGAGTACATGGTGCTAAAGGTGATATGGGTCATCAAGGACCAAAAGGCGACCAAGGATTGCAAGGACCACGAGGTGAAGCTGGAAGACCTGGAGATGTTGGCGAACCCGGAGTAGCTGGACCACCAGGTAAAGATGGATTTCCTGGAGAAAAAGGTTCAATGGGTGCACCTGGCTTGGTCGGGCCACAAGGATTTCCAGGCGCAAGAGGCTCTGATGGCATGCAAGGTAGTACAGGGGAACCCGGTATAAAAGGAGCACCCGGTCAACCTGGTGAAAGAGGATACAAAGGTATTTCGATAACATAGTTAAACTAGTATAGTACTTTAATAAAATTCAAAATTTTAGGAGATGCGGGCATCAAAGGAGACGCTGGTCAGCCAGGTCCACGAGGAGTTCCTGGCGCAAATGGTCCAGAAGGCAAACGTGGTAAACGAGGTATGAGAGGACCGACGGGCCCATCTGGCCCAACTGGGGAAAGAGGAACACCAGGTCTGCCGGGTATACCTGGTCCCGATGGTCCAATTGGCCCAAAAGGAATACAAGGAGATCGTGGAATTCAAGGTCCGACTGGTATTAAGGGAAGCTCAGGTGATGTTGGCCCAACCGGAACTCCGGGACTTCAAGGTTTACGTGGTTTGCCAGGAAGAGCTGGAATTCAAGGAAACGCTGGACCACCTGGTGAGCGTGGTGTACCTGGTGCCGACGGTAAGCCAGGTGAACAAGGACTGCAAGGTCTGCAAGGCATTCCAGGCCCAATGGGTATTCCAGGAGACAAGGGCTTTACTGGAGAACCGGGTAAAAATGGTGAACCAGGAGTTGCAGGTCCTCCCGGGCCACGTGGGGATAACGGAAAAGATGGACTTCCTGGTGCACAAGGAGCTCCCGGACCACAAGGACCTGATGGTATAAGAGGAGAGCCTGGATCTGTTGGGCCAAGAGGATATCAAGGATTACCTGGTGCTCCAGGTAGCCCAGGAGTTTCAGGAAAGGATGGTCAACCTGGACCACCTGGTCCAATGGGACCAATGGGGTCAGCAGGGCTTAGAGGTGAACGCGGATTTCCAGGAGAACGAGGACCAGTGGGACAGCCTGGAACCCCGGGTGAAAGAGGAGAACCTGGCGTAGCGGGCCCAGATGGAGCTCCGGTAATTTATCTGAAATTTTAAATTATTAATAATATATAATTTGATGTTGCTAATTGTTTAGTCATAAAAATTTTTGCTCCTTGTACTCGTATTGAGCAGTACAATACAATAACAAATACTCAATCATAACAGTATATTTTATATAATATGTATTATAATATATTATAATTTTATTTATTCAATAGTACGGTTAATAATTATATAATATTTATTTTGAAGGGATTCCCAGGCAAGCCTGGTGCTAAAGGTCATATGGGCTCCCCAGGAATGATTGGATTGCCAGGTCTTAAAGGACATGCAGGTCCAGCTGGAGAAAAAGGTGAACGTGGAAGTCCAGGACCGTTTGGACCAGAAGGTCCAGCTGGCAGACCAGGTGATCGTGGACCTCAAGGTAACGTTGGTCCACCTGGTGCTCCTGGTGAATCAGGTGAAAGAGGAACACCAGGAAATCCCGGACCACCAGGTGAGCAAGGAACCAGCGGATTGCCAGGTGAAAGAGGACCTATTGGACCTCAGGGCTCACCGGGCTTTCCTGGATCACCCGGAGTAGCAGGATTACCAGGCGCAAAAGGTGACAGAGGCTTAATGGGAATAAAAGGTGAACAAGGAAACACCGGTTTACATGGAACACCTGGAGAACAAGGATTGCCGGGTCCTATTGGTTTGGTTGGACCTAAAGGAGCCAGAGGTGAAATCGGCTTAAGAGGTGAACCTGGCATAAGTGGACTTCCAGGTAGACCAGGAGAACCAGGAGTTGCAGTAAGTTTTGTTAGGAAAGCAAATATACCTTTATTTAATAAATATATCTTAATGTGTCAATAAAGATGAATGTTATAAATTTCCTTTAACTTTTTCATATTTAATTTGGCTTTATAGGGGCAACCAGGAAATCAAGGACCACCTGGAATAATGGGTCTTACTGGACATAAGGGTAATCCTGGCGAAGCAGGAAGACCTGGATTACATGGCCCACAGGGCTTACAAGGACCGCAAGGGTTGGAAGGGCCGAAAGGAGAGGCTGGAAGTGAAGGTCCGGTGGGACCCCATGGCAGTTCAGGACCACCAGGTCAACCTGGAGAGCGAGGTATACCTGGATTACCAGGTCCCCCAGGAGCAATAGGAATGCAAGGCTTAAGAGGTAGTGTTGGTGAGCCAGGTCAGCAGGGCAAAACAGGCAAAGATGGTGAAGCGGGTCCTCCAGGTTTACAAGGTACTGATATTTTATTTAAGTCTTAGCTAAGTATTTTAAAAATTCAATTTATTTCGATTAGGCCCCTTAGGACCACCAGGTCAACCAGGAGAACAAGGGCCAGAAGGTCCATCAGGTAAACAAGGTCCTCCAGGAATACAAGGCCGAATCGGTGATAAGGGTCCACCAGGACAAATAGGTAATTCTGGTCCCCCTGGAAATCCAGGTTTACCAGGTCCACCAGGCCCGATGGGACCAATGGGTTTAATTGGCGAGCGTGGTGTGAAAGGGGAAATTGGCCCAAGCGGTATTGAAGGACCGATTGGTCCAAGAGGTAAAGTGGGTCCTCCTGGACCAGAAGGAGTGAAGGGTGATGTAGGAGAACTTGGCCCTAAAGGCATAAAGGGTCATCGTGGATTTACTGGATTGCAAGGCTTACAAGGAAATCCCGGTATAAAAGGTGATAATGGTTTGCCTGGTGTACCTGGTGCTCCAGGAAAACCAGGTGAAATCGGTATGCGCGGACCACAAGGAAGAGACGGCAGTTCAGGACTGCAAGGTGCACCTGGAGCACCAGGACCTCGCGGACTTTCTGGAACTGATGGAAAAACAGGTCAAATGGGTCCAGCTGGTCCACCTGGTCCACCAGGTCCACCTGGTGAAGCTCTCGGGTATGATGCCGCTGCTATTGCTGCGCTTCTTAGTCAAGGACAAACAAAGGGTGTAGATACTATGGGTGATCAACCTATGGATATTTTCACAGATGATCTTACAAATGAAGAGAAACATGCATTAGTAATGAAAGCTTTTCAACATGTTCAAGCATCATTCGAAAGATTGCGTAGACCAAATGGGCAGAAAACAGCACCGGCGAAGACATGTCGAGACTTATTTGCAGCTTATCCTGAATATGCTACAGGGGAGTATTGGATAGATCCAAATGAGGGTGATATACGTGATGCCATTCTTGTACAATGTGATAGGACAACAAGAGGCACTTGTATTATTCCACAGCCGAAAGAAACTGCAGCTATAAGTTATGCAGGCAGAGAAAAAGAAGCATGGCTCAGTGAAATGCCTACGGGAATGAAAATAACATATAAAACTGACTCAATGCAATTAGGTTTCTTACAACTTTTGTCTGCCAAAGCTACGCAAACGATCATTTTCCACTGCAAGAATACAATTGCCTTCAAGGATGACAGTGATAATTCGTATAGGTAATTTGAAATATTAAGCTACTGCCTAAATATTTCCATAAATGCTATACTTTATTATACTCTATTTAAAGCCGAGGTCTGAAGTTGCTTTCTTGGAATGATGCCGAACTCACTCCGAATGGGCCACAACGATTGCGCTATGAAACTGAATCAGATGAATGCAGGGTATGTATGTAAAGCATAAAAACTTTCTGATTAAAAATGCACAATATTTTTAAAACAAATATTTTTCCTTTGTAATTTAGCACCGTTTAAATAAATGGGCAAAGACTGTTATTACATACAAAACAGAAAAGTCACAGAGGCTGCCAATCGTTGATATTGCGGTAAGAGATTTAGGAGATGCAAATCAACAGTTCCGCATTGAGCTTGGTCCAGTGTGTTTTCACAACTGATGTCCCGTTACTTACTGTCTTAGAATTTAATTAGTTCGTGACACAATGAATAAATGTAGAATGTATAAAATTTATAAAATATTTACATAATGATTTTAAATAGAATTTTGATAATAAATATTTAGAAATTACAAACCTCTCTATAAATACCACACATTCTAAAAGAGGTCATCGATTAAAAAAAAAATTAAAAAAGTTCAAACGTTTTAAAAACAATATATCACACTGAACATACTTAATAAAGAAGGGAGTGGTTTATTTAGTGGAATGGTAAGATTAATACCCGTGATATTAAATATTTTCTTCAAGTACAGTGTCGATAGTAAAAGTGTAAATGGCAAATAATTATAGCGTGGTTTGTTACTATTTTCTCGGAAAATAAAAAAATGATCAATGTTCAGGTTAAAATAAGTACTGTTCTCTTCTCATTTCCTACTTCATGTTATAAAATTTTTGATATGTAATTGATGTGTTTATAATTATACCATTTAGTACTCTTCGATAGGACTACCATACCTATACCAGTGTTTTGGTTTTTAGGCAAAAAAGTCATTACATGGGTTGAACCAAGCTTCGTGGTACATGATATGGAATCATAAAACCTTTTTCTGTTACTGTAATGACAATGGCCACTTCAAGTGAAGCTTTCACAGTGCCACAATCGATGACTAAACTTAGAGTCACGTCCTAATCAGCCAAGGAAATATGCGAAAAGGATGGGTCAAGTGTTCCTATAGTTGAATATTATTCTAAGAACCGCATATTAGTCGCAACAAATTTCGATTAATTGATTAGTTTTTTGTGCTCTTGTTGATAGGTCTGTTTTTCTTTGATGCAGAATGTACTCACTTGCACTTTCTATACAAATTCTATAACTGTTTATTCTTTCCTTTTATTATCATTTTAAATTTACAAAATCTAAATTATTTAAATAAATAAAATTATCGAATGTCGAATATTTCAATTTTTTTAATACATTGTTTACTATTAAATTCAATATAAACAAATTTTTTTAATGCTCACCGCAAAGGCATTACAAATATTTTTGCTTTACGAATTAAAAGGATTAATTCTGTGTCAAACTTTGCCTCTGAGTTGCTTTCCTCTACTTCAAATGCAACTAGAACATATCTGCACTGGGAAATACGACTTTTATATCAAAAATAAATACAAAGATGATTGGGTGGATATTGGCACCACATACTCTGTATTTAGCGATAAAAATAAAACCAATAACTACGTTGTTACGTTTAAGGATAGCAAACTACAAGGTTGCAAGTTCCTTAGCTTATTGGTAGGAGTATTGGGATGTATAGAGGGAAATAATATAACGCTTGTTCCTGGAGGAGTGAGATGTGTAGGCCTCCATTTTCAGTATGCGGATACGTTATTATCTCACTGCTTACAACAAACAAATATTATATTTAAGGCAGCTCCGAGTAAATTTGCTGCGTTTCATTATGCTAATACTAATCTCTTGGAAAACCCAGACGATCAAACTAATCGCATTCCAGGAATCGGTACATTTTATTTAAATGGAAGCTCTTTTAAGACTTCTGAATTTCTTAAACTCATATTTTTTTTTATTATTTATTGGTGTGTCTTTTTAAGAATTTAACTTCAATTACGATACCAGTTTACACAAGTTTGAATAATACAAGAGTATTGTGGATCGAAATAATTTCTTATTATGAACAAAAGTGCGCCTAATATTGTACATAGCGCTAAGTTTTTTACGTGTATTTTTTACGTATTTTGTTCGATTTGCCAGTTTATTAAATAAATGTTGACCATTATATATTGAGTTTCTTAAAAGTATACTTTAAATATATAACAAAAAAATGCTAAATAAATGTTTATAAATATGTTAAACTTAAAAAACAGATCGAAAAATCCGAAATAGATATATTGGGTCCGTATGTTAACATCTAAATTCATATATATAGACACTTCAGTATAAACATATCGACAAACTCTTAATCACATTTGTTTAATGTATACATAGAAGAGAAAGAAGATAAATTAAAAAATAAAAGGTTTCTGCATTTCCGGATCCTAATTGGGAACCACTGTTTCAGTAAAATATGTCATCTAACAATTGCCGAGTGTGCAAAAAATGAATAATTCTGTAGTGGGCACATCTCTTAATGATCAGGATTAATTTTTGTTTAGTATATGCTTCAGCATCTTAGACGATGAAAAGCAACAAGTAACTGTCGAAAGAACGTTGCTTTCACAATATGACAAAATGTCACTTTGTGTTGAAACATATGATCAGGAAGTGTGATCAGTCTTTTACTTACTTACTGTTGTTCTCTCCTCCTCGTAGAGCATAGGGCTTCTGCCATAGATCAAAACCTAACTCTATTGGGTGCTTCGCGGCATATATTATTTTAGTTATAATTCAGATTGCTGTAGTCACACAAATGCCATTTTTTGAAGAATTTAGAAGCTAAGTGGTTTAAAAATAACCAAGTAGCCATAAGCTACAAAACACGCTCTGTTTACATGCGGACTTGGTTTTATGGGGATCATAAAGATATCGTTCTTATAGGAATACTCTAACTCCTGATCTCTTCAATACAAAGACTACTGATCAATAAGTCATCGAAAACTATCGCAGAAGGATGCTATACTATACGATGTACCAATGAAAAAATTTAAATGATAGTGAATTTTATACTTCAAGGCAAAGTTCTAACATATATTGAGAGAAGATATAGTCTTGATGTATGTGACACTGTACTAAGCATAACAGTAGACTGGTTATTAAAAAACTATGGTATCATTTTTGAAATTGTAAAAATAGTTTTAAAATCAATTAATCAATCTTATAGTTTGAAGTAAACGGCTTCAAAACAATTTTAATCATTAAATAATTCTTCTTTTTAAAAGATATAATGTAACTCAGTTTATCATATAGAAAATAATGCATAGGCAACTTACATTTTTAGAATGAATATAGTTCATATCAAGTAAAGCTTGAACAACATTCATAGCATTAATAATATTTAGTTCTTTCTGAATCTGGGGATATTGTAGAAAGTATTCAAATAATAAACCAAAACAAAAACATAATTTAAAACATTATTTTTATTGAATTATTTTGAAATCGTATTTAAAAGACTCTCTTTGCTTATTGATAAAAAAAATCCATTGAAATAAATGGCTATTAAATTACAAATTTGAAACAGTTCGATTAATATTAAACTAGAAATCACTAGCATATTTTTTTCTTACAACACTTTTCTGCTAAATATTACTTAAAACATATTGGTCCAAACTTAAATCCAAAAGCTTGATCTGCATTTCCATAATCCAAAGGCAAAAAGTCAATCAATGGTAAAAAGTTTACTCTCTTCGTTCGTACGCTCAACACAGTTTTTCCATCAGTTTGAGGACTCTGTGAATATTAAATAATACATTAAGTAAGCATTTTTATTACTTTTGTAATAACTAACCTGGCATTGATCAAAAATAACCTCCGGTGCAACTAATCCCCCCTTTGAAATTTCCATCTCATTATCACCCAAAAACTTAATTGCTTGTCTATAATCGTTATGAGAACTGCTAAACCAAGCTACCGAATTTACACAGGAATACGTAAAATTCTGATAAGCCTCTTCAGATAATAAACGTAAGAAATTTAACTGAACTGTTCCGACACCATCGTATGTTATTTTAAATCCACCACTGTGCTCTGAGAACCATTCATTACTAAATTTTCGTTTAGGCAGCACTGGCATTTCACTGGTATGAGCATCAGGATAAATACAGGTTTCTCCTTTCGCGGTCATGTTGCAGTAAACGTATATAGAGTCATCTGGCATACCAGCATTTGGATCTATCCAATACCACCCATCATCAAAATGTGGATGAGCATAGTGTAGATCTCTACAAGTACGAACCGGATTATCTTGAGTGCCGGCCGGTTTACGCATGCGATCCATTTCTTGCCGAATACTATATATAGTACTATACATATCCATGTATTTTTCATTTAAATCAATTGGCTTCTTCTTTTTTCGGCGTTTGTTTTTTTTATGTGGCTCAGCGGCCGTTGGTTCCGGACTGGTAAGACCCATTATGTCATTAAAATCATCATCATCATCCAGTTGATTAGAATCATTCTTATCTTCCACATATCTTCTTCGTCTAGTTTCTGCTTTCGTTGTAGAAAATTGTTGCATTTGAAAGAGCAAGTCTGGTGGTATAAGCGGCGCTTCGGCTGGTTCGCCTGGTGGACCTGGGGGACCCATTGGTCCTGCCTCTCCTTTCAAACCTGCAACTCCTTCAGTACCTTTAGGACCCGGGGAACCACTGACACCAATTAGACCCTGTGGCCCATCATTTCCTTTGGGCCCTATAGGACCACCGGATCCTATGTCTCCCTGTCGTCCTTCTTGTCCTTGTACACCGCGAAAACCTCGATCACCTTTTTCACCTTGATCACCTTTTAGACCAACCGGCCCAAGTTCACCTCGATGTCCCTTTTGACCTCTGCGACCACGATCACCTTTTGGCCCAGCAGGTCCTATTTCACCTATTTTACCTTCTTTACCTGGTAGACCCATATGACCTGGAGTTCCAATATCACCAGCAATGCCAGGAGACCCTTTTGTACCTTGATGTCCTCGTATACCAGGTTCTCCTTGTGGACCTATCATTCCTAAAGGCCCAGCCGGTCCTATGCCACCTTTATCACCTTTTTCTCCAATTGGCCCTATCGTTCCCTGTGGACCGGCCGGTCCTTCAGGTCCCTGTTTTCCAGATGGCCCTGTTTCACCAATTCGTCCCTCAGGCCCCACATCACCAGGTGGCCCAATTTCTCCAGGCTTACCGTCTTCTCCATCTGGTCCTATATCTCCTTTTGGTCCTATAGCTCCTGGAATTCCCGGTGCACCTGGAAACCCTCTAGCTCCTATGGCTCCTTTTGGTCCTATAGGTCCTTGCATACCTTGTATTCCAGGAGGGCCAATAGGTCCACTTCGTCCTTGCTCACCTTTCGGTCCTATTATTCCGCGGTCTCCTTGTTTACCCATTGCACCTACCGGTCCTGGAGGGCCCTGCGAACCATCAACACCAATTATACCTTGGGGTCCTTGGGGTCCAGGTTTCCCTTGCTGACCATGTACACCTGAAAATTAGTGTAAGTGTAGTAGTTAATATACATTGCGCAGAAACCAACCTTTTATTCCTCTACGTCCTTGTTCACCAGGTAGACCAGGTGGTCCAACTGGACCCATTACTCCTTCATCTCCACGCTCACCTTTAATACCAGCAGGACCCGGAAGTCCTTGGTTTCCAGGCTTTCCTTGCGGACCCATTGGTCCAATTTTACCATCTTCACCCTTTATTCCTCTATGACCAGCCTCACCTGGTGGACCTTTCTCACCAGGAGATCCTGGAGGTCCAGGTTCACCGCGAGATCCTTGTGCACCTGCAGACCCAATAGGTCCCTAATAAAGAAATATAAATATATACATAGAAATGCATATATAATGTTACCGTTTCTCCTTGGTTCCCTTTCAGGCCTTTTTCCCCAGGCAAGCCTACTTCTCCTTTGTCACCATCTTCACCCGGTGTACCCGTTGGTCCTGGTGGTCCAGGTAATCCACGTAATCCCATCAAACCATCCCTACCAGCAGGTCCAACAGGACCTTTTTCTCCAATTTCGCCTTTAGCACCAGGTGATCCAGGGTTACCAGGTGAACCTACATTTCCTGGTGGACCTTGTGGTCCACTGTGACCAGGTTCGCCACTTTGACCCTTCTCACCAGGAAAGCCTGGACTACCTATAATTCCTTGTTCTCCTTTAAGTCCTGGCAAACCTGGTTGGCCTTGATGACCACGTTCTCCAGGAAACCCTGGAAGCCCTGTTGCACCTTGTGGTCCTGGAATACCAGCTGAACCCATTGGACCAGGTAGACCCTCCTTACCTGCTTCTCCTGGTAGCCCCATTTCACCAGTTGGTCCAGGTAGTCCAGGTATACCGGGTTCACCAATAGGTCCCAATTCACCAGGCGAGCCACGTGGACCAATTACGCCTGTATCTCCAGGTGGTCCTGGTTTGCCTGGTTCTCCCTATATGAAAATAAAGTACACAATTCATAATTTATTGAGAAATATTACCGGTTGTCCTCTTTCTCCCGGGAGGCCAACTTGTCCAGTTCTACCATCTGCACCAGGAGGACCGGGCATACCAATGAAACCTCTTGGACCTTCCGCACCTTGAGGGCCAGTTTCACCTTGTGGACCAATAGCACCAGGTTGTCCAGTATCCCCTTTGTGACCCGGGCTCCCATCACTACCTCTTCGACCTCTAGAACCGCGGAAGCCTCTTGGACCCATTTCTCCTCTTTCGCCTTGCAGTCCAGGATGTCCTCTGTCTCCCTTTAAGCCAGCTGGACCAGTTGATCCGGTTGCACCTTTATCACCTTTATCTCCTGATGGACCCGGGTACCCTTGAAATCCTTGTGGACCTTGCTTTCCTTTCTCGCCAGTTAGACCCTGAATTCCAGTCTCACCTCTAGGTCCCTCGAAACCTTTTGGTCCTTCTGGACCTTCGGGACCTGGAACACCTGGTTGTCCTGGCGTGCCACGTTCACCAGAAGGACCAGTATCTCCTTTTTCTCCTTCAATTCCACGTTCGCCGTTATCACCTTTATCACCAGTAGGACCACGGAGACCATCGTCACCTTTAGCACCACGCGGACCTGGTAGTCCAACTGCACCTTGCATTCCTTGCATACCCTGATCACCTTTGAAACCAGTTGGTCCAGGATTACCAGCTGCGCCAGGAGATCCATCAGCACCGGGAAGCCCTGGTAAGCCAGGTTTACCACTTGGACCTGGAATGCCAGGGGGACCAGAAATCCCTTGGGGTCCTGGAGCACCAGTACTGCCTGTTGTACCTTGTAGTCCCGGTTGTCCAGGTAGGCCTGTTGACCCCGTACTGCCCTTGATGCCTTGCGGACCTTCATTACCTTGCAAGCCTGGATTACCAACTGGACCTGGAAAGCCGCGCGGACCAAGGAAACCTCGTGGACCCTTTTAAAAACAACTACTCTTATATCCATTTTTAACTATATTAACAAATGTATTACAAGTTCGCCTGGTAATCCGGGTAGGCCAGGCGGACCTTCTTCTCCGGGATGTCCTTCTACGCCTTGTTGACCTTTTTCACCACTTTGCCCTGGAATACCCCTGTGCCCTTTTTCTCCTGGTAAACCCATTGGACCTATTGGGCCAATTTCACCCTTTGGTCCTTGTGGTCCCATACTGCCACGTTCTCCATCTCGACCTGAACGTCCGCGACGACCTTCGCGACCGGGTGGCCCTGCAGGACCTCGTAGCCCTCGTGAACCCTGCCGCAAAAAGATGTTCTGATTAGAATAAATATGAAATAAAAAGAAATACTTTTTTAAAAGCCGCCTACCGGTTCTCCAATTTCACCAGGTTCTCCTTTAGTACCCTTGGGACCAATCAAACCTGCGGGGCCAGGCAGACCTGTCAAACCCATTGGGCCATCTGAGCCACGTAAAGCTAACTAAAATACAGTTTTTTTAGTATTAAAGAACAAAATGAAGTATTGTATTACCATGTGTTGTTGGATGAGTTGGAGCAATGCTTCCGCTTGAGAATCGGGACCCTTTTCATTTCCTCCTTGCGCAGTCTAAAATTAGAAAACTATTAAATTTCGTAAAAAAAATATATGTTTCAATTTTGTGGAAATAAAGTATCTTAATTACCGGCACTACAAAAATATGACCAGGAGGACCTTGAATACCAGAAACGCCAGCTAAGCCATCTCGTCCGGGTTCACCTTGCTGACCTCGCTCACCTTGCGGTCCTGGTATACCTGTGTATCCTCTGGGGCCTGGATAGCATATAACTGATTCGCTTTCAAATAATGTTTCATTGCGTTTTTGAGTGACATTAGATCTTCTGGAACCGTTAATTTCTGTAAAAACAACTTCTTGCAAGTCTTTTTCACCATCTGGTTCATTACTGGTAGTCGTTTCGCTGTTAATAGTATTTTCGACTTTATCTTTAGATGTCTCGACCAAATTAGCTTCTGTTACTTCAGTCACATTAAATATGGTATCATAATCACCGTCAATGAGGTAATCATCAGTTTCATAGTTTTCTTCAAAACCAATTGCAGGATAAATATTTGTGTTGACATCAGAATCTTCTGTTCGCGGTATTGAACCGTATCCGTTTGATGCTGGTCCACCAATACCAAAACGTTCATTATCAGCGCTTACATACTCTGCACTTGCAACTAATTGCTCATTTCTTTTGATTTTATCATTAGTAGAATATGCAGAAGTGTAGGCAGAAGATTGCATGGAAGATGAATCAAGACTATTTCTACGCATATCATCAAAACCTGTTTCCACTCTTGAAATATTTAAAACTCTTTTCGCGCAAGATAGCATGTGCTTTGTGCAAACATCATACCCATCATCTGGAGAATTTGTGATGGCCATTAATTCTATATCACCGATAAAGAAACCTTCATCGCTATTCATTTGAACACCAGTTAGAATGAGACCATTTGTGGATATAGTACTACCAGGAGATCGTTCTAAACGACGTGTAACTTGCTTGGTACAGTCCAAAATTAATGTTGCAGAGTTCCCTTTGACACTTATGCCAATACGATGCCAAACAGTGTCATCAACTCCAATACCGAAGTTTATATCATTTTGTTGGTTAAAACCGGCATTGATTTGTTCATAACTCATAGTTATTTCTTTACCGATGCTCAGTGAAAGTGTTTCCTCACTTTCTTCTGAGTATATTGTAAATATAGGTGCTTTCTTTTGATTTATACGATTACTGCGAAGTGCTAATATTATGGAAAAATCAGATGGAAAACCTTGTGGAAACGCTTGCGATGTTTGTACGGTGAGTATAGCGTCTTTCGATATATGATAAGCAGGTGTGGTTTGTACTAGGTTTGGATGTTGTGAAACACCACACATACCCGGCACAGATGTTATACCAGGCGGAAGATCTGGTAAACCGAATTCTTTAATTAAATCGATAATGCCATCTGAAATTATATAATATTATATGTTTTATATCATATATAATATTTCAATCATTCTTAATGGTATTGCATTCTATTATTTGTAATGTTGTCATTATTTATTTATACTATTTGCATAATTGATGCAAAAGTTCTTTAAAACTATTAACCTTAATTTGTAGTATCTGCAAAGCAAAGTAGAAATCATTTGCATATTTTTGTCATATATATACAATATATAGCTATGTTGTATTTACATTTCATTCATAAATCAAATTACTTTTTTATTAAAAACACAAAGCCAATATTTTTTATCTTGATGGTGTGAGATATTTTGCGCAGATACACAGCTGCTTGTATAGAACGCTGAGTTCCACTGCTGAGATACTTTGCAAGGAATGCAAATTTAATAGCTTTGACAAACTTTATTCTTAATTATGAAAACAATATTTTCTTATGTTTGACATGATAAACGCCAAAAGTGCTGCTATCTTCAACCAAACGCTCTTAGTTTTGCATTGGCGCACATAAAAGTGCATTTGCAATCATTTATTTCAATTTATGCTCGGCCTAGGCTATGAGCCCCAAGTGGTGTACTTAATCAATTGCAGCGCGACCAGGCATTTGTTACAATTTTCCAATCAATAATTTCTTTTTAACAATGAAAGTGATGGTGAATAAAGCAAAGAGCTGATGAGTTAATGAAGCGAATGCGCTTTTGTCTAGAAATTGAGGCCAACATCATTGAATTACCACAACAACTAATTCGTAAATGAAGTCTGCGCCATAAATTCTAGATTGACTCGAGTACTGTGTTCTCATTATTGACTATATTTCTCTAGTATATATGAATACAACGTTTATAATTTATATATAACTTAAATTCTGCCAAAGTCTTAAAGACTTTTAATTTATATTTCATATCAAACTAATTCAATGCTGCATGCACTTCAATATTATTTAAGGTTTAGTTGTACAAGTTCACATAGCTTCTTTAATAATCCACATTATGTCAAAGGTCTCCTTCTTCTTCTTTATTATAGGATTAAAACCTGTTTTGTTACTACAATTGAATTTAATACATTTAAGCAAAATTATGACATATCAATTATGTCAAAGATGGGACAAAAAAGGCAGTCCAAAGAGCCCATAAATTCACTTGGACCAAATTTGTGTTAGTGAAACTGCTGCGAGAACATACCGAAAATTTGACACAGTTTACTCTGAGGAATCTGTAAGCGAACATCGAACACAAAAGTAATCGGCTCGATTCTGATCCGAAAACTTACCATTAACCTATTACACTAGATCGCAAAATAGTAATTCTGGTATTTACATTTCAATAAGATCACCATAAAGTAATGTGATTTTTCACATAAATATATAAGAGAATAATGGGATCTTGCACATTTCTTTATTATTAAAATATATGCTATAAACATCAACTTAATTACCTATACTTCACGTGTAAAGGCTGTTAGTCGTTAGGTATAGTTGGTTATGGCATTTCGCTTAGGCTTAAGTTGGCTTATGTTCTAGTGGTACGTATCGACTAACTGGGCCTTGAGGTATATTAACTTTAAAGGGATTAAAGTGTTTTCATAAATTTGGTTCATGTCAGGCTAAAGAGTGCTATTCTGTCCAGTATCTGGCTCACGTCGGACAAAGTGCTAAAAAAAATATTTAAAACATCTAAAAAACCTAAGCAAACTGGAGTACCACGTTTACTGGAACAGCCAAATACAAGATGAAAAGGATTAATTTATATGCACATATTCGCATGTAACATAGCACCTTAAAATGCGTCATAAGAGGTTATATTCGTTGTTGTAAGGTACGGAAACTATATAAAGTTGTAAGCCTTTAACATTGATTACATTAATAAAAAAAACAACACACACATTGAAATGACAACTGAACATACCTAGGAAATTGGAATCGAACCTCCTTACAGGTATAAAACTGAGCATGAATTTGCTAATGGTTCACTAGCAGTTAAGAAACTAAATTAGGATGTTAAATATTCATATTAACAGCTCTAATAGTAACCGTGTGAAAGATAAAAAAAGTTATTTATTGTTCAGAGACAACTTTTTTAAAAATAGTAAACAAAAAATAATGAATTTATTATATTTAAAACGATCGAATTCAATTTATGAGGATTTCAATGCAACTGATTATTTATGATCTTTCAATCAGGGATTTCAAAAATTGTTGCCGTACTCTCTGACAGATAGCATATAGATGAGAGTTTGAGATTATTATTATTGCACCTTAATCGGATTAGAGTGTTTTTCCAAATCCGACTTCTTTAATGAAAGATAGTATAGAGCCTATTTTTCCAAGCCTATGCTCCATAAAATACTCTCCTAGATGTGTCTACCGCTTGTGCCATAGTATGTGGTTTCTCTCTCCTCTCTGCAGTGTCATCTGCAGTCTGTGTCGGATTGGATTTCTAATTATGTTAACTGATTATTCAATCCGCATATTTCAAGATAGTACGGTAGATAAAAGTTTAAGATAATTATTTCTCCTATTTTTGGCAGCGACTGGAAAGGTCTTCAATTTAAGTTAAATATGTGCTACGTCTATCTGTTAAGCAATAACCGATTTAAGGTTTAGGTACTTATCAATATATTATATATCACTGACTTCTTATTACATTAAAAATTAAAAAGTCCAATTACTATTATCTATATTATTCATAGTAACTGTTAAAACTGTTAAAACATTATTAAAACATTATTCTACAAATATATAGTTTATTTGTAGAACCTTTCAAACCAGTGAAACAATCTATTCTATACAGTAAAATATATATTCTATGGGTGCCCATCTCTGATTGTCAGAAGAAAAAGTATTTAATGGAACTAACTTCTTTGACAGTTTGCCCAAATATACATTAAAGACGAAAGGTTACAAATATATCTGTCGACATGTCAGTGTTAGTAAGTTACCAGCCAGATAATGTATATATCAATATGGATTAAAATACTTGTAAAACTCCAGGAAGGGTAAGATGTTAACGATATTTTATAAAACCAGAAATTGAGAATTTGGTGGCAGAGTTTGTTAAGAATAATATATTTAAATATGTATAATAACACAGTCTTACCTCTTTTTAATACCGCTGCATCTGAGCATCTATTGAGCAATAAAATCATCATTATGAATTGTAAAACTCTGTGGAAGTTCGGTTGTATTCCATTGCGGCGCATTGCTTTTAGTTGCCATGCGTTCCTGGCAACCATGATTTTTTTTAATTTCAAAGTAAAAAAAATTAATTACAAAATTTTTTTTTAAATTTTTTTTTCTTAACATATATAAGTCTTAATGTTTTATTAATTGTTTTATTTTGAATGCATTCATTAGCACATTTTCTTGATCAGCTGAAAGAAAAAAAAAACATTTTTATTGTAAGTAAAACATTCCAGAGTTCAAAGATCTCTCCGCTTATCAGAAAATGAGGGAATTCCTTACATGACGTCGCTGACACATATTTTTATAATAAAAAAAAAATAATATTGAGTTAACTTATCTCCATAGAATTGTAAGAACTGACCTACACTAATTGCGAGATAAGTTCTTAGTGTTGGTTTTACATTGAATTTAATTGAATTGTAATTTTAATTTTATTTTAGTGTTGTACTGTTTTTCTTTTTTAAATTATTTATGATTTTTTGTTTGTATTTAATAAAATTTAATTTCATTATCAAAATTTTTTATGCTCAAACCGGCCGGCTTTCCGAAATTCGTTCACCACCAAAAATTATCGGCGATATCAGCTGAGCTGAAGTCCAATTATTCTTATGAGTTACTGCACATATGTCAGACTAAAATAGATCAGGAAACTATATTTCTTTTGGAAAAAAATGTTTCCAACTTTTAATTCTGATAACATTTTGAACTTTTTATAGCAAATTAAGTATTTTTATCAATTTCTATTTCATTTCAAAATTTAATGAAAGTATTAAGAAAATTATAGTTTCGAATTTTGAAAGCTAAAAGCAATCAACAAAAACACTTTAGAGCGGATGCTGACATCAGCTTTGCATAATTAACTATTGATTTATTAAATAATTAAAAAGTAATATTATTTAATTACAATTACTACACAAATATTTATATAATCACTTATAAACCATAATATTCGAATCTTAACTTTAATGTCATTCACGAATGTTATTTAATTTTATTTCAACAAAATTAATTTCACATCCACACTCCACAATAAAAAACTGTTAATTTTATTTTTTTAAATTTAAATTTAATTCCTTAAAAATTATTTTTTTTTTGATAAAATTAATCTTAAACAATAATTATTTTAATACCACTTTCCAATAGAATACCACTTTTCAAATTTCTCACTATAAAATGATATATAAAAATATCGGTTCAAAGAAAAAAATATTTCTTCTTTTAATATACCATATTTGTTTTTTTTTTGTCTCTTTTGCATATATTTTTCTATTAATTTTTTTTATATATTATATATTTATATGCTCTAATTATTATTAAACCCAATTCAACATATTGCACAACACTTTTATTATGATGGACATATTTCACTTCAGTTCTCCTTGTTCACTTCAGAACTCACCGATTTCTTTCGATTCAAACTTTTTCCAACGACCGCCGAACGGGAACTGAAAATTCAATTCTTCGCCTGACTTCAAGAAAGCTGATGTCTTCAATTCATGTTTCTTTGAATCCGTAGACACAAACTCTTTAAATGAGATTTAAATTTTTAAAAAAATATTATGATTCTTCGTTGAAATTGAAAACTGAATTGAAAGCAATGCCTTTCAATCTCATTCAATCAGGCTACATAAGCTCTTCTTATAACTTAAGAGAGAATTTTGAATATGTTAATTCTTACAAAAATTAGATTTTATTTAAGAGTATTTCTTACAGATTATTACAGAGTAATTAAGACTTTATAGAGAAAATTTAGTCTCATACTATTTATTATACAGGAACACTAAGTACGAAAATGTCTATTGAAGAAATCGTACCACAGTATATATATAATATGTCATAAGACAAAGTCGAGAAAGGCTTTGGTCTTCATAACTGGAATACTTTCTATGGCGACTACTTAAGACTCTGATCTATCCATTTAATTCAGGAGCTTTTGATTACTTAGAAATCAAATTTTGATTACTTAGTTCCAATGGTATTGGATCAACTTAGTACTTGGACGATGAAACCAACTAGCAGAAGTTTTACCTTACTGAATGTAGCTTGCTGAATTATCTTAAAAATATGACGAAGGAACTACATTGGCATTTGCTGTAAAAGTCCAGCTGCATGAAAAGCATTCGTTGACCCTGTTAGCTTTTCAGAGGTGATAAATGGATTTAAAAGTAATGTGAAGAGAGTTTCAACACATAATTTGAATCTTCTTATATGGGTTTATATCGTATGGAATCGATATCGTATGGAATCGATATCGTATGGAAGGCATAAGTTGATTGCATGATCAATAGGTTCTCTGATAGGCCAGCAATAGGACCAATGTTCCGATATTGGCCCAATAATGTGAATATATCATATTTATTAAGATAAATTTATCATCAATTTTAATAATACGAATATTACGTATTTAATGATATAAGTTGTAATATAGAAACTAACATATTTGGTTGAGGGATTTCGAAAAGTAGTGAACTACAACCCCAAAAATTCTTTTCTTTTTTGTATTATTTTTTTTATTTCAATTTTTGGCTGACCAAAAAAATATAAATATTTCATGTTTAATAATAATAATATTATTCGTAAAGCTCTGTAGGAGTTTTTTGTAGAGTCTATGGCACTATGAGTTCCGTGAGTAAAACAAGGTGATATACAATGAACCACTATAAAATGATGATATCTTTGTGAAGAATCTTTACAGAAAATTAGCGTAATTTTACTTACAAGTGAATACAATGTACCTTAAAGTACTAATCACTGTCATTAAAAGTTATAGAACTGAAAAACAATATATGGCTATGGTGGGAATCAACCCAGATCCGGTCAACACAGATTTATCTTTTATTTTCCACGATTTTCAAGAACGAAGCTTGAATACTGTTGGGTTATGCTGGTCTGATTAAGAAGAATATTCATTCTCTCTCCGTGCCTGTAATTCTTAGACACTAACAGATTAAGTCACTAACATAATCGAAGCAAAGTAACTTAATTTGTTTTTATCTTATCTCTCTTGTTCTATCTCTTTGTATAGTGCTTCTATTTCCGGGTTTGGATATAACAGTCCGCCAATTGAGTGCACTTTGTCATACTACTCTTCTGAAAAACAAAAACATTCCTTGACCTACTGCTCATATATGATCTTCATTGCTCGAAAAGTGGGGATGCGGATTGTGCTTAAAGCCGCTCAAAGGCTCAAAATCCTACGTAATGAGTTATGGCATTTAATTTTATTTTCTTATAGATATTATCACGAGTGCATTATGTTTATTTCACTGTAAAATTCAATATCTTAAAACAAAAAATATCCATAATGTATGTATGTAGAAAAATTGCCTAACCTTTCTCCTTAAAACTTAAAGCAATACAAATCTCTACTTTAACCCAAAAATATTATCCATAAGTACAGCTAACTTAACAATTCAATATATTCTGACTTAGATGTAAATATATTTCACCTATTTTATTTTATATTAAAAAGATTTAATTGCTACCATTAAAATATTAAACACTTTTTTAACCCTTAAATAGCAACCAATAAATAACACAAAAACTAAGCTCTGGGCTAGGGTCAACAGCACATAATGATATTAATATGCGTGGTGAGTTGTTAAAACAGAATTATGTTGAGTTTGTGTGCATGTCAGGCTGTTTGAGTGCATGGAGCATTTCGGACTGAGCAGTGACCACCGCGTATGCCATGGTCACTGCAATTAGGAAATAATTTACTTCTTTGTAAACTCATTACGACGCATTGAAGCGCTTTTGACAAGGCAAAATTGAAACACACACATAAGAGAATAATTTACATAAATATGTATGTGTGTTCTCCGTTGTGGGGAATATGAAAGCATAGGTAAATTTATTTTGATTGTGTTTGGTGCATAGAAGTTAAATGCTTCGTATTCATAATTATCCTTAATACTGGCATAATGCATTGTCCAAACAACTAATTTAATTGACATAAATTATATATCTAAATACAAATGATGTTCAAACCCTCAGGCTCTATTTGTATATAAAGAAAATCAATTAATGAAGAAAACAAAAAATATTAATAAGCGTTTTAGATGGGTAGCCAACATCTGATTAACCATCAGATAACTTTAAAAATGAGACAAAAATTGGGACAAGCAAATAATGTTTATTCCAGTAATAGAACTTAGTGAATCATCCTAGGCCCAATTAAAAGGCATAATAGATCTAAAAAACTACGTTGAACATATATTTGGTGCTAAAGATCGAAAGTAGTAGAATTGCTCACTTCATATAGTTGGGTAGTTGGTTTGTTCCAGTGGCAGGCATGTAACTCAATTTACATGTAATTCAATTATCGATTTTAGGCTAAAAACGGTTTAGCCTAAAACCATCCCGTCGAATTTAGATCATTTAATAGATCTTTCGTCTTTACCGATGGAACACTCTGATAAACTATCAAAGAAGTAACTTCTGCCCTGACAAAGCAGGACAATCACAGTGATAATGTTTTATGGTTTATTTTTCCTTTAGGTTTCCAGCACTTCTTCAGTGAGAATTATGAGAAATGCGCACTTTCTCTGTTTGAAACCACCAGTGACCAGAAAGAACTTTAGTAACCCTTGCAGTGTTCACGCGGTCTTTTTTGATAATTATATCCATTATTGAACTACTCACCGAAAACTCATCAGTTTTTCTATTAATAAACCATAAAATTAGATGATTGAACTTACATTATATGAGTTGGTCTTTGCTGATTTTAGGTTAGTCATTTTTATTTATTTGGTACTTATAGTACAGAGAATGGATCAACATAGCTGATTGCTGATGATCCTATTAATGACGTGTAACTAGGCTTCTTTATTATTATTTAAAGGTACTTGCTTTTTAACTATACTTCGATCGCGGTCAAAGGCCGGCGAACCTCCAGAAACGACTATAAAGCATGGATTGAATGCAAACAAGATTATTATGTTTAGTGTTTGTTAGGATTAAAAAGGAATTGTTTAAAGCATGGATTGAATGCAAACAAGATTATTATGTTAAGTGTTTGTTAGGATTCAAAAGGAATTGTTTATGCTCCAGCCTGGTTTACGGTTTATTCGGTTGTCAACAACATTCAAGGAAAAGTAACCAGTATTTGCAAATGGAAAAAGAGTTGTGTTTCATCATGACAATGCTAGGTGCCCCACATTTCTGAGGGCTCATAATAAATTAACAAAACTTTAGTCGTGAAGTTTTAACCAAACGTGTAAGGACTTACTTTCGTTATATAAGGTCGTTTTGTTCTCTACTTTCTCTGGTAGTAGTTTGGCATTCTGCCAATATCAGGTCATGTACGTTTTTGAAATTTAGACACAAATTGCCAGAACTTCGTTGGAAAGTTTTGATGCATCCAATGGTACTTTTTACCGTATTGGTCTCTACAACACCTCATTAGTTGTAAAAAATTGGGCGACCAATAAGCTGTTGAAAATCACTTGGCTAAATTTGTGGCCGATAAACCTCAGGAGTTACTCTTTAGTGGACAAGAGGCCGTTAATAATAATGATTGTATATACTTGAATAAAATTGTATTTCAATACAGAAGATTTCCTTTGCGAAATGAACAAGAAAGCTTTAGATATTTTTCCATATCACCCAGTATATACATAAAAATTTGTAATAATTTCAATATCCCCTAAATTTGAATTCATTAAACTATTATCATAATAATAGATGAGCGGGCTAAGTGGTTCAACATTTCGATGATCTTAATAAAATAGTTTGTTTTAAAAATAAATAATAAATTATAGTTTTTTTATTTTTATTGACCAATTAGCCCGCTCTTAAAATATTATCTTTTTCCTATTATTATATACTACATTATTATTAATAATTATAATCTATCTATTATCTATTATTATCTATAATATCGATAATTTTCTATAATGTATCTATTATTATTTCTATATACATTATATCCATTTCTTCATTCCAAGAACAAAGACAAAACACTTATCAACACTTCTTTTTAACTCTCTGCTACTAGATTATGAAATTGCCCATCTACAAATTGTAATAGAGCAATATATATGTAATCCAACCCTCGTAACTGGTCTTCAACAAATTTTAAAAAGGATTTTTATTATCCCATAACTGTTGCTTTGCAAAAATAATAATTCATACATTAAGCCAACAATTAAAGCTTTTAAACCGTAAGAGAAAGCTTTTATGTTTTAATATGAAATATATTGACATATCCTTGACTGGAAGTTAAGCGCATGCGCTCGCATTCTCTGTAGACTGGAAGGTTGCTATGAATGCGACACCGCTCCCTACTGAAAGATATTTGGACTAGAGATGCTTCGAAAGCTTTGATTTTGTTGAAATTTAGTAATTTTGTTGAGTTTTTATTGTCATTGCTGAAATAAAAATATAAAAATTATGGCATATAAAATGCCAATAACAAAGCAAAGAGTACAAAAGGAAACAAGCTACTGTGGGTCCACAGCAACGCCGGAAGTAGGTGGCAACAACGGAATGGTATCTAATGGCAATTGAGATAACAATGGTAAACGATGTAGCAGCTACTATGTGCGTGTACGTCCTTTATGAATGTAGCTGATGATGATGATGATGAAAACGAGGAGAAGTACAACCGCAACGTGAGCAATAGCGACAGGAACGTCGATGGTTACAGTAACAATAGCTTGAAGTATTAACTATGTACAAAAAAAACATAATAATAAAAAAAAAATTTTGTTATTTTGGTTTATTTCTAGCCATATTTTATTTTGGAATCTCTTTTATAATTTTTATTAGTGGCTTTTATTGTAGATATTTATGTAGTTCTTTAAAATCGTGGTTAATACAAAATTTAGATACTTCTAACATACTTATACAACAGTAATTTTTTTTTGGTTGTATGTGTGTATATATTATCTATATCTCGTAATATCTTACTGCTTTGTACTAAATTATCATTAGTTTTAGTTTTTATTACTTATTAATTATATATAATTAATTTAATTAGCTTTAATTTTCTTTTTATTCTATTTTGTGTCTTTTAGTTGTTGATAAAAATGGCGAAGATTATACACACCGGATATATATCGTCTAGGTGGAAAAATTCTGTCCTCATATGCTCATTTTTATGGCTATTGGATAATAGATTTAAAAATTTTCTTTTGTATAAAAATCTAGTAATACAAATAATGTTATAGCAATTAAGATTTATCAAATTTTTAATGAGTTGATTCAAGTTTACTCCTATAATAGATATTATGATTGAAACCATATGTTAGTTACAGTGTTTCCTTCAACTTAATAGCAAATGAAGAGCAAAAAATACAAGATAAGGGACTATCTATATTGAAAATATAGTTATATACATAGTAAACCGTTGCCCAGAGAAGCGATAAAAGTGCTCAGCTATCCGCGGCGTACACTAAGTTGGTTGACCTTATTGATTACTGAACATGAGTAATCTTCACCTTAAAGAAGATTACTCATGTTGAAGAAGACACTTGCAGACTATGTCTAGAAGAGAAGTAGACAACGGTGCATATATTGTGCCAATTTTCAGTACTGGTAAGCATTAGGTTGACAGTCCTGGGGCACCATTAGGTTGGTGATGACTTGGCAGCTAACCTCAAGATAAATGAGCTGCTTGCAATAACAAGCGATGTAGTTATGCGAACGGAAGCCACATTAGCTTTAACTCAATAATGGCATCCAAGAATCGAAAGTCGAAAAAGGACCCAAGTCGTGTTGCGGTCTACTTCGGCTAGTGCTTCACATCCGTGGGGCCGCTTGTTAGACGGTGCGCTTTTCTAACGTCCCACAATATACATATATATAGTTGAAATAATACCTCGGTATGAGAAAAAAATCATATAATAGATTGTTGAAGACAACTTTTGTTATCTAGGCTAAGTTAACGAGTAAAAATTTGCAGGTGGCATCAATAATTCAAAGAATGCCGAAAAACTAGTTGAGTATAAAGTATTCATCTTAGACGACGACCGATATCAACTAATGAATAACACATTAAACAAATTTAGAGATAATTGTTCAGACTTTATTTGGATTAGTCCACTCGATTTTGAATCATGTTTTGTGATTGAAAATAGAAAAATCTAGTTGCACTTATTTTTATGAAAAAGATCGCGATGAAGTTTTATAATATTTTCCCACTATCAGCATGATATGAAATACATAATATAGATGACATTTCGTTCTATGCGCACCACATAGGTACAAAAAACACAATGAAGGTATAGACAATTTGACTCCTCTTTTTTATTGCAGGGTTATATATTTTTTATTGAATTTGTTACTGTTTTTAGAATTTATTATTATTGAGATATATTTTTTTTACTTATTTGTTGGCTTTGTTTTAGGTATAAGAATTAGGCATTCATACGTTATTGTAGCTATATTTCCTAAATTTCTATTTTACTTATAGGTTGTACTCGTCTATTAGCATATATAGTCCATTATTTATTTTCCAAAAATTTGTGGTGACTGAGTTGGGAACATAACCTTCTGCAATAAGCTATGCATATTTTTTCAATTTCTTTGAAGTAAAGAAGCA